TCAATTATGTGAAACAAATAATTATTTAAAGGACCAAATTTTCTTAAAATAAACAGAAAAAGAAGTTAAATAAACAACATGAAAACATTTACTTCCAAACATAGAATCTTTTCAACATTTCTACAAGGTTCTTCTTGAAAATTTCAGGGATGTTTTACCTGTAGGTGTTATGCCCTAGGTCCAATCGATTGAGATTGTAAACACTTTTAATATGTTTAAGGCATTTTATTTTTGACAATATCTATTATTATTTAAATTAATATTCTGGTGAATAATGTTAAATAATAGAGTCCGAAAATACAAGTTTTAGTAATTTGTTAATCACAATGAATTGTAATTGTGAGATACAAATTATGTTTAATTGGATTTTAAATAATCCATGGCGATAGGTAACAATGAGATACGAATATCGTTATTACAAATAGACGGTACGTGTGATATTTCTTACTTTTGAGGTAATTAGTTTATTTCACAAGTTAAAGTGCGGGGACATTTAAATGAATACATGAATATTTTGTTATAGAACAAAACATTGTAGATTTGTTGAGAGATTCTACATGGATAACTACTTGAGTATTAGTGGTTAATCTCTAACGTTCGGTAGTGGAATTGATCCTTTGATTTGAGGTCATCGTGATACTTTATATGAGAACAGTCATATTTTGACGATGTTCGATGATACTTTGCCAAATGTCGCTAATACTGCATTGTTCGGATATGTCAAGAATTGTAAGAAGATTGTAAATGACGAATAGAGAATTTGTCACTCCTAGATAGTAAGAGATTATGATCTACATTTCATTCAATTAAGTCGATAACGAAATCCTTGGCCAACGTGTATTCAGAAGTCCAAAATGAGTTTTTGACTTATATTGACTTAATAGTGGAATGAAAGATATGATCGATAGTCGGAATTGACACACGTTCATATCTCATAATTGATTGAATCATATTGACGAACGGATTATAATTTCACGATAAACAAATGAGTTTGATTTTGTTATATCACGTGATATTTTTCATCACATTTATTGCCCTAACACATTACTAGATGTCAATCTGGGACGGTGAACATGAATTGATGATAAATTAAAAGGGTGTTTGATTTTGGTTTGATCAAAATAATATTTCACGTCGTTAGGTATCGTAATTGAGAATTTGATAAGTCGCACACAAAAGGAGAACTAGAAATTTGTGATTTGTCAATTAATTAATTTAACAAACGTTGAATAAAATAATTAATTGGGTTATTTATTTATAGGCCCGAATTAAATTAATTGGATTAATTAATTCACGGATCAGATTTAATTAAATGGGTTAATTAAATATTGAATCGGGTCAGGAGACAGCCAAGCCTGTTTGGGTTCATATAAATAAGTGGCTAGAGTTTTTTATTTGTAGAGATTTTTATTTTTCTTACTAGCACAAGAGAAGAAAACTCCGGTTCTTATAATCTTGTTCTCTATGTAGAATTTCATTGGAGACTGAACAATTGAACAGTTGTAGGTGGCAAATCAATGTTGTTGGAATAAAAGAAAAACAAAGGAGTTTGCATATCTATAAAAAGATATAACTTTTTTCACAATTTCTACCTAAACACAAAGCAGATCTTTTGTGAGAATTGAAATCTGATTCATTTTTCGCTATGCATAATAAGTAAATTCCCAACATTGCCTTCCAACTCTAAGACGAGAATCTTGAAATACATATATCAGAGATAACTAAGATAGGTAAATCGGCATTTTAAGCTTTGCCTTGCCTTTTTCAATCTCTATGCAAATCAGTATATGCTTGCAAACCTAATAAGGCCAACATGATAGCTCGGAAATTGATGGCAATGAACTTTCTAGCTACAACTCAATAGTACTTGCCATTTTGATTAACATGATACAACATATTTTAAGATTCCAAATCTGATAAAGAATGTACATTAAATTGGGGCACATTTTACCAATGGATGAAAGGATGTCATAAGAGAATGAGTTACACTTGATATGCCCTGATAATAAAGTAATTTCCACAACACACATATATGTCCAGGTAATAAATTTTAAGAAAGCTTCTCGAACTCAAAAGGATAGCCAAGATCATCTCAATTAACCATTTAGCTTGATAAACCTAAACAAAAATAAGGAGTTATGCACATAATTATTTGAAAATGAATGGATATAGAGAGATCAAGAGAGCGGAGAGTTGAAAGTGCTTGAGAGAAACAATTGAATAGTCCTCGGGAAACGCAAGTATTTATCCATATCTCCAATCTGGCTACAAATTAATGCCTCTATTATTTCTCTGTTCTTCTTTTTGTGAGCCCCGATGTACATTTAGGAGCCATGGTATTTGGCTCAAGGTTACTCAACAGCTAACAATTACTGAAATTTGATCGTAAAATCAAAACAAGAATTACAATATCAATCAACTAAATTTCAACATTTCCAAAAAAGCAACAATATATTAAAAATAGAGGAACACCCTATTAAAATAGAGGAATAATTACAACATAAGATACAAAACTTTTCGTAAGCAGGAATAGATCGCACCTAAGGTCCTAAACAATTAAAAACTATTGACAAAAGCAATTTATAAGTAAAGGATATAATATCTTCTTCCGAGAATCCCCCTCCTAACAAACCACATCCGTCCATCCCAAATTCGTGCCTCTCCTCTCATAGCCAACCATCCTAACCAAAAAGCGCCACCCATGCTACCAGAGCACCCCAACCAACAAAGTACAATCCAAAATCCTAAAAAAACCAAATGCACACTTTTACCAACTCAAGCCATCAACTTGTACACAAGAGATAAAAAAAAATGGGCAGATGAAATTGGGTGAAAATGAAGATAGGGGAACATTCATAACCTACCAGTTCATCATCCCTATTAAGATTTCAAAAGGGTAATTGAAGCAAACTGCAAACACTTAAATTATGTGTTAACTAATTGAGATTTACATCAGTTCTACCATTATATTTATATGGGATTGGAAGATTACAATTTACTTAAGGTTTATTGTTTACATCAATTTACATCAGTTTCACCATTACTGATATTTGCTTAGAAACATGAAATAACTCTACAGATTTTGATGTTTATAGGTTTTAAGCAATAAACGTGGCAAAAACCTTAGGGTCCATTTGATTGTAAAGATAGAATTTAAGTGTAAAGAAAACGAAGTCCAAGGAATTGAATTGTCTAGAAATTGTTTTACTGACAATTGTCAATTAATAAGGTTTGATTGGTATAATTTTTCACCTGGAAAATGTTGAAATAAAAGTGTTTTTTGGTGTTCATTTGACTTTGTTTTTCATGAAAATTATCAATTTAAGGGATATTTTCTTTTATAATTGTTCCTATAACTTGTTTCCATTGCAAAAAAATAATAATAATAAAAAAATCAAGAAAATAAAAAATCATTTATCTTTTGGTGTCCGTTTGACTTTATTTTACATAAAAATTGTCAATTTAAGGGATATTTTCTTTTATAATTGTTCATAGAATTTGTTTCACTTGCCCCAAAAAAAAATCAAAAGAAAAAAAACGGAAAAACCTAGAAAAGCAAGAAAAAGCTGATGTGGCAAGGGTTTGGGGAAAATTATTTTCATGACAAAATTCTACCATCAAACATGCCAAAAAGTGGAAAATGAAATTTAATTCTCATTTTCTTGGAAAATAAGGGCATATCAAACAGGGCCTTAGTGAAATAGCCCAAAAATTAACGTAATATGCACTAACAAGTAGTATTTTAGGCAATGACACAGTTCAAAACTTCAACAGTTCAACTCCTTGTCAAACTAGAAAAAAAAATTTATGAAAGAAAGATATGGACCGAACGAAATGCTAGTATATGCAGGAGAGTATACCACATCAGCTCCGTTTCTGACCTCCACCGGACCATTGCCATTATTTCATCTAGGTTTTGTCAGTTGATTTCTCTCAAGCTTTTTGGTTTGTACTTAGGAGGTTTTGGACTTTGAAACTGTGGATTTAATTTCAAAAAAGTGGGCCCCTAAAATTCTGGGCTTGAGGCGGAGGCCCCCTTGGGCCTCTCCTCAAGTCTGGCCTTAAAATTAGCGAATGTGAGAGTGCCACGTGTTATTATGTAAATCTTTAAGTAACCTTAGCAAGATTACTATAGCATATATATAGGGTCTGCTCGGTAATGATTATGATAATTGATTTTTTGATCGTTAGAGAGAAAAATGAGTTCGACTTGTGAGTGAAAAAGTAAAAAATGATAGCTGAAATAGTAACAATAAAAAAAATTGAGTTTTGGGGACCAAACGGGGCATAGTCCTTGTATGAACCCCATTATTTAAAAAAAATAAAATGTTTTGATATCATTTCAACCACACAAATTTTCAATAAAATAATATTACACATAGATAAAAAAAATTTCCTTATTTTTTAACGACACACTTCCTATCAATACACTATTCAAAAATGCATTTTTCCTTCAAAATGGGGCTCAAACAGGGGCATAATTCATATATAATATTTTTCTTTATATGGCAAGCTCAAAGGAGATTTTTTCTTGGTTGAGCAAACCCTATTCTTTTGACGAGAGATAAACGGGATGGGTGGATATAGTAAGGGTAGTGGAGCTAAAGTGGTGACGACAATAGGAATGATGAATACAAAATTTTCTTATTTTTTACTTTTTTTTTCTTTTCTTAATTGTTTTAAAATGAGTATTATGATTCACGAATATACTTGTGCGTGTAATGTAAGTTAAAAGTGGTCATTCAACCGAACTTTAGATAGTTTATGTCCAAAAGGATAACCGTGCACCTAAAACGAAAGTTTGGAGATCTCAAAATCAAGAAAATTTAATCGTTCTGAATGTCAAAGTATAGGGACCACAAACCGCAAATTCCTTAGAAGGAAAAAACTCCACTAACGCTTCTTAAAATATGCCATTTCAAAATCAAAAGCGGTAGAAGACCAAAAGCGATTTCAGGAATAAAAATAAGACCACATTCAGATACATAAATTCGAGAGAGAGAGAGAGAGAGAGAGAGAGAGAGAGACAGAGAGAGACGGAAGCCTATATATATAAAGCTATATAGCGAGAGATATTTATACAGTAGAAAGTAGTATACAATAATATATATACACAGTTGAGTATACCTATCTATATCCATCTGTCAACGTTTTGGAATTTTGAGTGAGATGGAGCTGCAGAACACAGTGAAAGAAGCCCTAAGTGCACTGTACCATCATCCAGACGACGCCGTTCGCATGCAAGCCGATCGCTGGCTCCAAGATTTCCAGCGCACCATCGACGCTTGGCAGGTTTTTAAATAATGCTTCGACACCAATACAAATCCCATTCTTAATTCAGTATTTTTTTTGGGATTTTTTTGAACAAATCTAAATTTTGAAACTGAAATATGAATTACTGCTTGAGCTAATTCATTTTTGGGCTTTGACTTAGATATGAGTTCAGTTTATTTTTATTTTTCTGATTAATTGAATCCGATGGGATTCACTTGCATTTTGTGGTCTTTATTTAGAAAGATAAAGTTTTGGATTGTTTTTGGAAGAAAAGAAATCGGAAAGAAAGATAAAATCTTGGATATTTTTGTAGAAAAGAAATTGGAAAGAAAAGATAAAATCTTGGATTGTTTTGGTAGAAAAGAAATGCATTTGAAATTTTTTAGATTTTAGATTGGGCAATGATTTTGCAATAATTTAGTAAAACTTAAATGATGAAGCTTTAGATGACCACAGTTTCACACACACACACACACACGCGGAAGTGTTTATACCTTCTACACTTTGACTCGGGGGTTTATGGTGGCCATAAATTTGAGGTCATTGTCGACTGCAGTAACACACTTTTCTGCTGTTATGGTGGCCAAAAAGTTTGTGTAATACATATTCTATTTTTTGTCGTCTCTCTTGAGTGTGGCAAAATGGTTTTTTTGGTTATGAATAAAAGCCAAAAAGGCATAGATACCATTTTGCTATTTGGAAAAGGGGTTTCACATTCGGTGGGGATTTTTATCCTATTGAGCTGCACCAATTTCAATTTGTCCCAAAGCATCTTGGAGTGTTTTATTTCCAGAATCTTGGAACCGTGCATACAATATCTATCTTATCGATTTGGGCTGTATTTTTTCTCACATAATGTGGCATATACTGAGACATTTTGACTCCTTTCAATTTTGTTTGAAATGCTTTTACATCTTGTCTGCAAGTGCCAATATTAGAGTCCACTCTTTCTCTGGCATGTGGAACAAAACAGTTAAAACCTATGTTCTTTATTTGAAACATTGATATGGGAAGGCGTGGCGTAAATCATCAATCCCTTCACAGCTTAATGTCATAACTTTAAAGTCCCAGCGGATCCACTATCCTTTATTTCAGCAAAGAAGAACTTTGGAAATAATGGTTTTTAATCCACTGGCAGATTGCTCTTGTTTCACAATCAATCTGGTGCTCAGTTATTCATATTACAGGCGGATGTAGCTATCTTTTGAGTAATGCCCCCAAGAAGTAAGATTTGGATAGGAGATGTTCTTGCTACGTTGTAATCGTTTTTCAAGAAAGGTTTTCTAAACATTTCGCATTACATGGACTTTAGAATTGTACAGCCTACAAAAAAAGAAAATAACATAAGAAGGAATCAAATGGTAAATAAGGCTTGCACCTAAAAATTAGGCCATTCTTTATTGTCAATACTCTTGCACTGCTTATCCTAGGGAAGAAGAGGAGAATCATGAGCTGTTTAGTGTTTATGGGTCAATTTGTCATTGTATTGCAGGCGACTGTTTTTATTTTTATTTTTATTTTTATACTTTGCTTGTTTACACAGTTCAATTAGTAAGAATGAACCAGTTGAATCCAAGATTAAATCTATGTACCAGCGAAGATACCTTGTTGTGATAATTAGTATAGAAATAAACATAAGCTGTGTGATGTCAATTTAAGTAACCTTTGTTATGATTGCGGATTGATTTTTCCATTTCAAGTATGTATATATGTTTCATTGAAGCATATCTTCCTTCATTTCTTTCAAGAGCCTCAAGTGGCAGTCATGATGCTTACATGTTTACCATGGTTAGGTGGCCGATAATTTGCTTCATGATCCTGTTAGCAATCAAGAAACCTTAATCTTCTGTTCTCAAACTCTCAGAAGCAAGGTAATCTTTTTATTTTTCTGTACTTTATCTGTTTCTCCATTGCAATTTTCACCAATGCCAATTGATGATTTGTGAAAATGAGGCGGTAAGCATTTTTTATGCCAATATTTTGTTCGTGTACTTTTTTATCTGATCAACAGGTGCAACGGGATTTTGAAGAACTTCCTTCTGAAGCTTTTCGTCCACTGCGGGATTCACTAAATGTAAGCTAGTTTACGTTGTGCAGAATTCAGTTTCGTGGAGATGAATACACAGTTCATTTGCATTGACTTAGTTATGTTTTTATTTGAAGTTTGGGTCCATTCTCCGCACATATTTATAGTTCAAATATGTCTTCATTCAATTCGTCCTTTTATTTCTTGTGTGTTTGCATATAGGATCTGTCCATTTTTTGAAATGTCGTAGGCTTCAACTAATTGATAACCACCGATAGTAGCACTTTGTTTCTTATAGCTACTTCGTGATTGTCGGTGAACTTTACCTAAAAACTTTTAAGATCAGCTGGAGATTTGCAGGAATATACACTCCTTTGAAATGACAGTGAAAAAGTTCAATTCTGAAGTATGTGCTCATGCATGATCTTATTTTACATGGGGCAATGTGTGGATCTCTACAAAGTTATTTCTTTGGAAAGCTCCTAGTCACAAATTAATGAAATAAGATATTTATTTTGCACAAAGAGTGTCTGGAAAGGGTGCTTATTTTTCTTCCTGAGTATGCCTATGGAACTATAATGAATTTTATTTGAGGAATAGAGATGATGATGGGGGTGGATCCTGTCTACCATTTTGTTTCTGAAAGTAATCGTATAATTTTATTAATTAAAGGATAATCACGGGAAATCTATTATCAAATTATACAAGAAAAATGGACATGAAATTAGGTAGCCCTTCTATATGATTATTAGCCGTAGCATTAAACCAAGTATACAAAGTCAAATAAAATAATTTTCTGATATACTCTGTTGTCCGTGTTTAGTCTTCAAAGCATCGGCTATTCCTCTCTCCACACACACCAAACAATGCATCACGGAATAAGAACCTATAAAATCCCATTATCCTTATCACGAAATTTTCTCCTCTATGTCCGCAACAGGTCCTCTATACACTCGGGCAACACCCAATCCAAATGTTGAGAGGTCAAAATACCGTTCCACAGCCACCGAACCCCATCACAATGAATGAACAAGTGGTCAGTTGCCTCCTCATCCCTGTTACACATATAACACCACTCGATAACATAAAAGCCTTTTTTTCGAAGATTATCCACCGTTAACATCTGTCTCCTCATCACCGTTTACAATATAAATGCCACCCGTGAAGGCAATTTACATTGCCACACCTTCTAGGCGAATGAGCTCTCCATAGGTCCTAACATGGAACTAAAGTATGCGCGAACTGAAAAATACCATCTTGTGCCAACCTCCACTTGCTATGATCACCCTCTCCTATTTGAATGTGCGCCTCATGCTAGATGGTAAAAAATAATGCATAATATCCAATTCTCAATCCTGTGAACCCCTTTCAAACACAATATTCCTACTGTGGTTTTCATTGTGTATGGCTAATGCATTATTTACTATAGCAGAAGGCTCCAAAGCAATGCGGTGCAAAGAAGGAAACTACACCTTTAGAGGTTGACCTCCACACCAACAGTTATCCAAAAATTTGATGTTATTACCATTCTTAACCACATAAGTCAATTTGTCTCGAAACTTTCCCGAACTTGGTGTGGTTCCTCTACGCCTAGGACACCAGAATATCGAACCATGAACGAAGAAAGGCAGCTGAGGCATCCTAACAGATCGGTAGACTTAAACTTTGTTCCTACATGACCTGATCAATTCAATCTTTGACGAATAACTAATTGATTTCCTTTCTTTCAGTTATTCTTTTTCCCTTTCCTGGTCTATAATTGAAATAAATTTCCTCCCCTTAATAGGTAACCATTTGCTACCAATTTTTTTGAAACGAGGTCCTCAATAACGCGACATAAAGACTCCCTATTACTTTCGAAATTCATGGATTTTGGAAAAGGGGGAAGGCACTTTTTCAATATTCCCCTCCATCCTCGTTTGATATACCTCCACAAACTCACCCCATAAGATCCGAGACCCTCGACCTAGCACCAACCCCCTCCCATCACGCCATACTTCGCTCCTCTGATGTCTCTCCAAAAACTCTCTATCTCCACCCCAAATCGCCACAACCACTTGCCCAATAAGGCCTTATTAAACAAAATAAAGCTCCTCAATCGAAGGTCCCTTATCCTTATAGGAGAGCATACAACACCCCAATTAACCAAATGAAATTTCCTGTCCCCCAATCCAGCCCAAAGAAAATCCCTTTGAATCCTTTCAATCTATTTGCAACGGTAACAGGAATCGGGAACAATGACAGAAAATAAGTAGGGAGATTAGAGATAGTGGATTTAATGAGAGTAAGGTGACCTTCCTTCGAAAGGTACACACGCTTTCACCCTGCTAACCTTTTTTCCATCCTTTCGACAATTCCATTTCAAATATATTTACTTTTAAATCTTGTACCTAAAGGGAGCCCAAGATATGACTTAGGAAACTGCGCAACCCTACAATCCAATATATCGACCAGCTCTTCCACATTAGCGACCTATCTCACTGGAATGGCCTTAAATTTCCCTAAATTTATCTTCAATCTCGACACCGCTTCAAAGCATAGCAGCAATTGATGCAAGTTCCTGAATTGCTCATTATCTGCAGTTCATAGAATCAATGTATCATCTGCAAATAGCAAGTGAGAAACCTGTAGGTGACCAACTATGAAGCCTCTTATCAAACCCTCTCCCACAGCTTTCTCAAACATCTTAGTGAATGCCTCTATTACAATAACAAACAGCAATGGAGACAATGGGTCCCCTTGCCTTAAACCTTTGCTGCTCGGAAAATAACCCTATGGAGTGCCGTTGACCAAAATTGAAAACGAAATAGTAGAGATATAAAACTGAATCTACTTACACCACTTATCCTCAAAGCCACATCACCTGAGCATATACAAAAGGAACCCCTAGTTCACGTGATCATAAGCCTTCTGAATATCGAGCTTACATAACATTCCTGGAACCCCCATGCACAATTTAGAATCAATGTATTCATTCGCTATAAGCACAAAATCCAAGAATTTCCTCCCTTTCACAAAAGCATTCTAAAACATAGGCAGTTAGGCACTACTTTGCCCAGCACCTCTTTTAATCTATTCGCCCGAACTTTCGCAATAATCTTGTATACGTCGCTGACTAAGCTGATAGGGCGAAAATCTTTAATGTCCACCTCCCTAATTTCATCTTTCCTAAATGGTCTCTCCAACAAACTGACATCCTCCTCCGCAATAGTAGCAAAGTCCAATCCCTCCAACTTTGGCCTCCACTTGAACTGTTCTTGATAGAGATTTTGATAGAATCTCACTATTTTGGTCCCAATATCCTGTGATCCTCATAAGTCACACCATCTACCTACAATAATGTGATAAAATTATTGTCTGTTAGAATTTGCGATCCTATGGAAGAACTTGGTGCATTTGTCCCCCTCTTTGAGCCACGTGACCCTAGATTTCTATCGTCAGGCAATCTCTTCTATCTTTACCAACCTCTTCAATTCTCCCCTCAACTCCTCGCGTCTCTTCTTTTCCTCCCCAACCAACTCTTGACTTTCCTCCCACCTAACTTCTCTATGTCTGAAAGGCACTGATTTGCCAGCTTACATTACCCACTACCTCCTTAATCTACCTCTTTAAATCCCCTTTCAAAGCCTTCAACTTCTAATCTAACACATAGCTAGGGAACCCCCTGAAGTCATAAGATGCCCACCAAGGGTGGACACGCTCCCAAAACCTTCGACTTTTTAACACCTTCTTGAACTTAAAAAGGCTTTCTTTAACTACTCATAATTCCTAATAATGAAATAGGGAAATGATCAGAATACACCCTCCCTAATCTCCTCAAAGTGACATTTGGGTACTTAGCCTCCTACTCCCCACTGACCAAGAATCGATCTATTTGAGACTGAACAGGTTGATCTCGATTAGATGACCATGTAAAATCTACTCTAATTATAGGCAAATCCACCAACATATTCTCCCTAATAAAATCTGAGAAGTCCTCCATAGCCCAGTTAGTCTCCCACCACTATATCTATCAGTAGGAAATCAAACATATTAAAATCACCCCTAATGCATGTTGGGAGATTCCACCAAGCTATTATACCAACCAATTCCTCCCACAAACCCCTTTTACTCTCATCAGCAGTAGGACCATAAACTCCTATGAACATCCATAGGAATCTATCATCAATATTTCTAAATGAAAGCGGTATAGAGAATGACCCTACACTAACGTCTTCCATATCAAAACTCTAGTATCCCACATGACTAGCACGCCACTTGATACCCCGGAAGATCCTAAAAATTGATACCCTACATGCTGTCCTCCTCCTAGGCTGCTAACCATAGCCCTCGATACAAACTCCACCTTAGTTTCTTATAAACAGACAAGGTCCACCCTCCATTCCCTAATCAGATTTCGAATACCTAACATTTTCCCCTCTTTATTAAGCCCCCTCACATTCCAGTTTATGATTTTTGGGATCATTTCAACACTCTGTCATCCATCCCCAACACTCCTCTCTTTGACTCCACTCTTCATATCATAATTTACTTACCATTTGAGTCGCTTCAGTTCAAGGTCGTCCTTTCTTTTTGATTTACCTCCTTTTGTACTCATTCCCTGACCCCTACTAGTCTCTAGTTCCTCAAATAGTTGCAAGAGTTTGCTTTCATATCCATTATAGGACACCCCAACCATCTTGTTGAAATCCTGAATTTTTTGAAGAACCCAGATCGAATGTGGGGGCCCATCTGCAATCACATCCAAGGGATCAAAGATAGGTTCATCCACTTCCTCCACTGGTACGACGTCGCTGTCTATTTTTCCTTTAGCCCCATCAACCCGCACTACCAGAGCTTTTTCGGACCCAAATACACTCTTTTGTAGAGACCTAGAACACCTCCTATTGTAAGTGTTCACCACCATATTTGCCGAATATGTCGCCTCGTGTTCTTTCACTCCTGTCCAAATTGAGTCCTCTGCCAGTACATGTCCCAACCATTGCTCATGTGACACTAATCCCTCTGCCGCCGACATCGTGTCCATCGTACCCAATTTCACCGACGTTTATCCTTGTCACCAGCGACAAATAAGTCTACAACTACTTGAAACACCTACGAAACTAATGTCCATCCCTCTCCATTTGCACCTTCCGGCACCATCACAACTCCTTTTCGACGCCTGTCCCCATATTTTGCTAATTACCTGCCACAACTATTTGGACAACGTTGTGCCAAAAAAGCTTTTGAGGACTCGTTAAACCTAGTGAGGAAGTCCTCCTGCTTGCTAGATCCCCCTCAGCCTTATTTTTCATATTCACCGTCCAAAGTGCACCAAATCGCCTCATGCAAATCGCATTCGATATCTTTGAGCCCCATTTGGTCATCTTAACAGTACTGGAGTTTTGAATTCCTTCACCTCTACTCTAAAGTAGGATTTAAACACCATTATACTGTGTGCGCCCATGCAAACGAAGCATCTGACGGTAAAGCAAGCGGCCAGAGTGATCTGGACTCGTCAAGTGGATTTTTCTGCTTTTCCGCGGCGGCGTATGTGCCACACTCGCTGCTGGATCGGCGTGCACCATGCCACTGTCTCACCGACGGCAGAATGACCTGCACGATCAGCCTGTCGGGCGCGTCTGCAGGAAGAAGGTCTGGTTTGTGCAAATGGAAAATTATTTTTAAATTAATTTGCTATAGTTCTGTTTACCAGTATGTTTGAATATCAGCTGTTGTGTGGATGCATTCTCTTTGATTCATTTTTCGTCTTTTATGATATTTTTTATGTGGCATTCTTAAATGCAGACCTTATTAAAATCATTTCACAAGGGGCCTCCTAAAGTTAGAACTCAGGTAATACTTGGTATTTTCTCCACATAAATCCTGTTATATTAATACAAAGAGCCTGCTGTGCTAAATGCCTTGATTTGTAGATTAGCCTTGCAGTGGCAGCCTTGGCTGTTCATGTTGCAGCCGAAGACTGGGGAGATGGTGGTATTATAAATTGGATAAGGGAAGGAATGAATTTTCATCCTGAGTTTCTACCAAGTTTTCTGGAGCTTCTCAGAGTCTTGCCTGAGGTACATCCGGTCCATTCATGTTTGGAAAATCTTTTTGCTGCTCTCTCTATCTCACTTACACACACACACACACACACACAATCTATATATCTACATACTCGCATATTGCTTGGAGGAGATTTTCAGTTTTAGTTCAACTATTTCCTTGATTAGAGACTTGTAGTGATATTATATGGCACAACTAACAAACTCCTTTCATTTGATTGGATTTCTTCGATAAAATTGGTAACTGCTATTTGCAATTGCAACCAGGAAGTGCTCAATTACAAAATAGCAGTTCGTCCTGATAGACGACGTCAATTTGAAAACGAACTTGCTTCAGGGATGGAGATGGCCCTTAATGTCCTAACTGCTTGCTTGAATATTAACGAACTGACGGAGCAGGTGGGCTATTATTCATAATTTGTTTATCAAGGACCTGTCATCATTTTTCATTTGATAATGTGTGAAACGTGATGCTTAATGCTTGTGCCATGAGATGGTGTAAGTGACAATTGATATCTTGAGTGAGTGGGATATAACATTGAAAGAAATGCTTTATCGGGTGAATTGATGCTTAAAACATGATTGAAGTGAGGT